ATTTCTCTGATTAAAAATTTGATCATAGTAAAATTATATAGCCTTTACATAGTTTTGATTACTTAGTCCGTTTACCACCCTAATATATCTATAGTATAAATTACGTGATTTCTGTCACTCTTCTTAGGGTTTGAAAAAAGTTTTTGAAGATATAGAATATTTTTACTTAATTGATGATTTTCCAGTGAACTGAAGAATTATCTTAGTATAATACAATATAGTTCTGTATATAAATCTTTTAAGATAAAAATATGGAGTTCATGCAAAGAAAACTTTTTTCTTATTAAGTAAATTATCTTTGGACTTCTAACAAAAGTTGTAGAACTCATCAAGACACATCTAATGGTAGTAAGAACATTAAAATCTTTTTTAAAAAAATCAATTTTCTTTAAAGAAAATTTATATGTCAATAAAATGTTTTTTAAAAATTTATCGAGAACCACCAAGCCAATTTTAACGTTTTTATCACCATTAGATATGTCTTGATAAGCTCTACAACTTTTGTTAGAAGCCCAAAGGCAATTTACTTAGTAAAAAAAGTTTTCTTTAGACAAACATCACATTTCTTTAAAAAATCTTCACATTTCTGTCTATATGATTTACATATAGAACTACGTTGCATTACACTATAATAATTTTTTAGTTCACTAGAGAATCATTAATTAAAATACTTTATATTGATTAATTAGCCAGTTTTTGAAATAATATATATATAGGTATAAACACTATAGATATATTTTAATAAAATTTTTTATTGGGTTTGGGCTTTATATTTTATTAGTTAAACTTCTAATTTTTACAAACAATGTCAACAATTCAAGTTAAACTGGTAACAAATTATTAATTTATTATTATAATTTATAAAGAGCTAAATTGAATATGAAACCTTATAAAAATTTATATACAAGTATAAAATTAGATTAAAAATTTCTGAAAAGAGATCTAATTATAGAGTGTAAATATTATGTATAGTAGCAGTATTACAGAAGATTAAAACTACTAAAGATCATATAAATAAGTTAGGATTCTGAACAATCTATAGATAGATAAGATTTTAGTTTGCTTATTTCAGACTATTTTTTTATTGATCTTTTCTATTTTTAATCATTTTTGTAAAATGCTAACTGTTTGTAGATTGTTTAGAATTCTAGTAAGTTCTTGTAAACAGTTAATACCAATATTTTATACTTCTAGTTTAAGCAATATCAATATTTTTATATTTAATTTGTAAAGAACTTGATTAGAAAAGTAATTATCAAATTGTATATATAAATTTTAAATTGGTATTACAATACTAAATTTGATTAGAAGAGTAATACAATAGTAACCAAAATCAGAATAGTAAAAGAAATGATAAACATGAGAATAATCTGTAATAAAGAATTGATTTTATCAAATTAGAAATATCTTTAACATATGTATAAAAAAACAAAATTAGAAGATTCGAAATATAAAGTGATAGTTCTTATCTAAAAACATATAAATATTTGAAATGACTAGGATGTACCAAGCTATAATACTTATATACTAAAAAAACAGATGCTGTTGTAAGTTCGAAGTGAATTAAAAAAATTATCTAATTATTTATATAATTGGTCACGTGGGCAGACAGACAGACAAAATTCTGTTTAGGCCTCTAATATATGCAGATTATCTAAAATTGTTCAATTATTTATGTGAATGATCATGTGAGTGAACAGACAGACAAAATTCTGCTCAGACCTCTAGTATGTGCAGATTATCAGCCAATCACAATTAAGTCATGTGCTGGACAGACAGATATTTTTTCAAGTTTTATTTGTATATGTAAGTCCTCGCTACGCTTCAGACAATAAATAGGTATCAAGAGCTTACCAACTTTAGAATACCAACCAAATTAAAATATCCAAGTTGAAAATAATCAAGTATTATGAAATCTCATTGGAAGTAATATTTAGATATTATGCAACATAATCATATCTAACCAACTGTGAGAATTTCTGTTTAAAAATAAAAATACAACATATAAATATAAATAAACAATTGTAAGAATCACAAAGATTAATATTTTAAAAAAAAAGAAAATTTTCAAAAAGATATTAGCAAATAAAAACAAAAGACAGGCAAAGAACTGGTAAGTTTGTATTTGAAAAAAAGCTAACTAGTGCCTACTACCAAATTAAGAAATAACTTAGTTATAAGGCCTTAGTTATAACATCTATTTGGAAACATACTTATGACTTATATAAGTAATGTAAAAAATATACAATATATAGAATACTGCAAAAATCCTGAATAGGTTTAAACAGGTATAACCTTATTAGATAGAGATTTGGTGCAAAGATAAAATAGTTCTAATCTAATATAACATTAAATAATAAGTTGTAACCATAATATATAATACACATATGAGAGCTTTTTTGAAATTCAATTAGGGTTTTTTAGGGTTTGCTTTTTTTTAAATTTTAAAAGCAAATAATTTTTAATTTATAAGTTTTTAAAAAATAATTTTATTGTTATCATATTCATCTCTTTAAGATGATTCTAACAAGCCCAAAATCATCCAAATCCAATCACAGGATCAAGAGATAAAGCTATAGTCAAATAAATACACACCTTATATGTCGGGCAATTGGTTAAACCTAGGTCTAACCAATTGCCTAACACATAAGATGTGTCTTTATTTGACTATAGCTTTATCTCTTGATCCTGTGATTGGATTTGAATGATTTTAGACTTGTTAGAATCATCTTAAAGAGATAAATATGATAACAATAAAAGTATTTTTTAAAAACTTATAAATTAAAAATTATTTGCTTTTAAAATTTAAAAAAAAAGCAAACCCTAAAAAACCCTAATTGAATTCCAAAAAAGCTCCCATATGAGTTTATTTAATAAAGTTACGGTGAAAAAGCACCCGCTCTTTAAAAAAAAAAAAAAAAAAAGTAAAATTCTTTATTATTAAAATTTTATAAAAATCTTCAAATGCTAGAGAATGTGCAAAATAATACCCAGAAAATAAATAAACAACTTTGTTGTTAAATAATTCTAAAAAACAAAATTTGCCTAAATTTTACATATAAAAAATTGATCGTAACAAATCGAAGAATGAAAGACAGATTATCAAAAACCGCAGGTGTAACACCTAAACCATAGGAATCAATCTTTAGTTTTAGCCAATTAGAATTGTTGGAAATCAGCCAATAAAAACGAACTTTCTTTATACTTAAAAATACTCTTCGTTTTAGACTACAACCATGACATCAGAAACGTCTGATGCTCAACCAAGATATACTTATACGCCATTCCCACAATCTACAACCGTTCACCCTTTACGACCTTATTATGTTCCTCAAAATACGGATCATTATTATACACCCCTTGGTAATGTCACCAACAGTAAAGTGGAACGTAACCACAAACTAATTAACGAGGAGTCTCAGAGCGCTATAAAAGAAATATTTAGCTTAGGCTTAATTAAATATATTAGTACGGCAATCTCGAATCCGTTTGAGGTTGCAAAGACCCTGCTGCAAGTTCAATATTTACCTAACGAGGACGTTATACCAGTTACTGTCGAAGGCAACAGCGCTACTTTGGATTCGGACGATGAAGTATGATACTTCTAATATTGTTAATAATTAATTTTTCTTCGACAATTCACACGACACATATAAAATAGGCATCAGACGACGAAGGCATTTATGCACGTAAAACCCTTGATTCGAATTCACCAGGCTTTCGCCAACCTAAAAACGCAGATATACATGGTTACATCGATACCGATATTTATGATGAATCGACGCGTCCAGCGTACATGGTTCCTCCACTAGAACATGGTGTGTGGGAAACTGTAAAAACATTAAAAGGGCATTCAACAGAGGGATTAAGATCATTATGGAAAGGTAAGTTTTTCTTATATCAAATATGTTAATGATTGTGTTTCCCGGATATAATTATACTTTCAATGCAGGACAATTCACAAATTGGTTATACGAAATGGGTCATGTTTTTCTTCAACCAACCTTCGAAGGTGCATTAAATGACGCGTTTGATTTGTATGATGATACTATTCCTTTGATTTATTTGGACCGTGTTGGCCCCAACATTGCTACCTTAATAGTTAGTCATGTTGTAGCTGGTGTCATTTTGAGTCCTTTAGAGGTGGTAAGAACAAGGTATTAAGTCTATTATGTGTTCTATACACATTACCTATATATTTTTTTCTTTAATTTATTACTTGACTTAATAAATTGGTTTTCCGCTTTAGGCTTGTCGTTCAAACTGCATCACCCGTTCATAAAAAATACAGTGGTACTTTTGATTGCTTACGCCAAATGATTAAAGAAGAAGGATTAACGTCTTTGTATTGGTCACACAATCTTGTCCCTTCAATTGTGTTCCACACAGTTTGTCCGTTGTTGGAATGTACTGTGCCATTGATCATTGATCGTGTTTTTCATATTAATCCGGCTGATTCACCTATATTATATGGACTTGCACAATTGGGTTTAAATACGCTTCAACTTCTTATCACGCTCCCAATTGAAACGATTCGTAAAAGATTGCATTGTCAAATCGTCTCTCGTGTTCCGGACAAATCGTTTGCAACCGTTGTTCAAACGCGTAAAGCACCTTATGTAGGTATGATAGATGCCATTTACAGAATCATAATTGAAGAAGGTATCAGTCAAACGTTTATACCCAGGCATGGAAGTCATAGAAGACGCTCAGTACGTAGGCAACGCAGTTGGTTAGATAATTATGGCGTGAGAAGACTATATCACGGGTTTTATTTACATTTCACAAACAATGTAATTCAATTTTTCTTTCAAATTATGAATGGTGTTGAAGATGATTTTAAAGATTTTTAAAAGCGAGCTTTTTAGTACAAAAATTTAACCATTGAATCTTGTAAGCGATTCCCTTTATTCATATTGACTTTCTTCTGTATACATAATATTTCGAGATTTCTTTTGTTCTTATGTGTAAAACGCACGATTTCCTATATATGTAGCACATCAGATCAATTCGCCATTGAGAACTAAAACCACTGGCACGTGATCACTAGCCCCATAACATTCACTTCTATAATAAATATATATAATTCAAAAAAAATTTTTAATAAATGCAAAAAGGTTTATACGACGCGACAAATTAATAAACAAATACGTACCTAATTTCACTCTCGATCACTCTATCTAACAATCTTTTGCTTACAACGTGATAATCTAAACGCCAACCAATGCCTTTGGTGCGACAATTAAATCGATAGGAATAGTAACTGTAACAGCCTTCTGTGTCCGGATGCATATTGCGCCAAGTGTCAACAAATATGTTATTTCCTCCATTCAAAATTTTGTCAAATCCGGATCGTTCTTCTATTGTAAATCCAGCAGTTCTTAAATGTGAAATATTTGAAATGAGTATAAAATTAAGCATAAGTGCAATAATTGGTTGATGATTATAATTACCTTTGATTAGTTTTTGGACGCGTCAAATCAATTTCTTTATGGGCAACATTCATATCCCTAGAAAAATGACAATTTATATTACATTGGTCAGCTCGGCCTCAGAGTACAGGTTGTCACGTGATCCATCAATATTACAAATCATTAAAACTTGTACGAAAAGTTTTATCAAAAAAAAAGTCGACGTCTTAAAAAAATTTCTGCATTAAAAGTTTTAGCGATTTGAAAA